TTACTTTCCAGTCAGAAAATAGGGGGGGGTCAGTTCTTTCCTCTGTCGGCGAAGAGAGTTCAGAATCTGTTGTTAGCTGTGCTGCGTAACAAGTGGCCCCAAACTCAAGCAGCTTAAACTAACAAACATGTATTTTCTCACAAAGCTTCTGAGGGCCAACCATCAGGAGCTGCTCAGCCCGGTGATCCTGGCGTGGGGTCTCCCACAAGGTTGCAGTGCGGTTATAGGTCAGGTGGAGCCACCTGAAGAGGCGGGGGCATCTGCCTCCAAGATGATGCACAGGCTGTTGGCCAAAATCTGCTTCTGTTCCTCACCATGTGGGTCTTTCCACAGAGCCATTCTCCTTACATGGGAGCTGGCTTCCCCCAGCTTAAGGGATCTAATTCTAGAAACAGAGAAAACCCAGGACAGAAGGAGAGAGAGAGAGAGAGAGAGAGAGAGAGAGAGAGAGAGAGAGAGAGAGAGAGAGAAGAGAGAGAGAGATGAAAGTGGCATGCTATTCCTTCTGCTATATTCTGTTCTTTACAAGAAAGTGACTAAGTCCAGCCCACACTCAAGGGCCTGAATTCTGTTTCACTTCTTAAAGGAAGGAATAGCATATGACTTGAGGGCCTATTTTTAAAATCACACCTATGAACATTTTTTTTCTCAGACACAGCAAGCAACAAATATACTTCAACTCTATCTCACCCCTTTCTTCCGCATTGTGTCCCAGTTGTCCCTCGGGGGTAGATATGGTAAGGCTTTATTTGTGTCCTTCATAATGTGAACCAGAAAATTGTACGCTGCAACCCGGCCCTGGAAACTACCTAAAAAGGTGATGTTTTCACATTTTTCATTTCAATGCTGAGCACATTCGAAAGGTATAAGGCAATATTTTGGTACTAATATGGTTATGGATAAGCCCTAATATTTTTGAAACCTTTAATTAGAATATAAAAAGTGTTATTGTATTCTTCTTTTAATTTTTACATGCATAACAGCAATAAAGTAACATAAATCTAGATTCATATAATGAGAGGTTTTGTATGTCATGATATATGCATTATAACATTAGTATTAAATCCAGGTTTATGTGACATAAAAGAGTTAGCAATTATCATGAATTTATATAAGCAAACAAAATAACGGATGAAAAACAGAATTCATATAATTTAGAGTTTTAAATAGGAAATGGAGACTCATTCTTGAACGTCAACACATTAATTTCCCCTGCTTTACTGTCAACCAGTATCATGCTCTAAAATCTTAATGAATGTCCTGGGAGCCTAATCAAATTTACAGAACACATTTCTACCAAATATATAGCCGTGTATTGTATACAGTGTTCACACATACATATTTTGTGCATTGCTCACTTTGCCACAAGGTCACCAACTCTGTATCTCTCCACACCCTGTCAGAAGGGACAGTGATTGATTTTTCTCTTGATGGATAGGTACATAGTGATCAGTATCTCGAAAGGATCAGTGGATTCCATCTTTGGGCTTCCTTCAGCAAGGAGCACAGAAAGCAAGTACGAGAGCCAGGCTTCGGCGCAAGGCTACTGCCAGTTCAAACTGGTCAGAAGCCACCGTCAGAAAACTCTTCCAATTCCGTTTCGCCATTGCAGATGGCTCAGAGCACACACCAACTGTTGCCTGACCCGGCTTTCCTGATAAATGGAACCTCCTCACTCTCTCTTTCATAAAACAAAATTGAGGGAAATTGAGGATCTTTTTCTGAATGACGTTTCCTGTTCTAACATGCTCCTTCGTAGTTCATTGAGAATATGTCCATTCTCTGCCAAAGTTCTTGCAATATTTGTTTGGGGCTAAGCAGCAGCTCGGTTTATGTCAATGGCTCGCAATTCCGTCATGGCACGTAAACCCAGTGCATTTGTGCCCCTTTCTGTTCCTCTACCACTTCCTCCCACATCCCTACCTCGCCTTCTCTAAATCCCGGGCCAGAGGGCAGGAATGTGACCATTTTAAGAATAAATGATTGTATTTCAGGAATGCAATCATCCGAGTGTTTCATTCCAACAATACTGGGCTAATTGAGGTTAGAGAGATCAAAAGCATTCCAGTTCCTTTGGTTCTCCACCTAATTTCTGCCATCACCTGCAGGATGCGTATCCTCTGTGTGTGCCTCTTCCATTGTGGGTTTATTTTTCTCTTCTCCCACTAATTAGGAAGTTCCTGGAAGTCTTATTCACTTCTTCATTTTTGCCACTAAATTTTTCCGAGTTCACTTTATTGAATTATTTTCAATAATATTTATTGAGTGATCACTGTCTGCTGACATATTATTACTGGGTTTCTATCATCATACCCACTTTCCAAAAATAGTTGGCATCACTGCCAATTCTTTCTCAGCCATCTTTCTTGGCATCTTAAATATTTTCTCTATATATTATTGATCATTTTTAAAATATATTTTTATTGATTTCGGAGAGAAAGGAAGAGAGAGAGAGAGAGAGAGAGAAACATCAATGATGAGAGAGAATCATTGATCGGCTGCCTCCTGCACAACCCCCAATGGGGATCCTGAAGTCTGGGCATGTGCCCTTTGACCAGAATCAATCCTGGGACCCTTCAGTCCACAGGCCGATGCTCTATCCACTGAGCAAACCAACTGGGGCTATTGATCATTTTTTCTATGTATGTTCCATCATCATGTATGTGTTTATATGTGACTTTTACTGGATGCTGTTCTTTTCTCAAGAATTCCTTCATGTTTGTTTGTTTTTCCTTTCCTGGTTCTTTTTCCAGAGGACTATAGATTTCCCCAAAAATATCTTTTTTGAGATACTATTCTTTCTTAGTTCATACTTAAGGAACTTCTCTACTTCAGCAGCTGCAGTTAATATTTGCATATGGACTAATTAAAGGCCTTTGTAGCTACCTCAAGCTAGAATGCAGAAACTGCATAAGCGGGACTTAATGTCCACAGCCGCTGCTGCTCCTGTGAGGTGTGCATGTGGGAAACATTACTATTCAGATCCCTTTGGCTGATGAGCTCCCCCTTGCAAAACCTCCCACATGTTGAAGATCTGCCACTTGAAAAAGTTACCTTCCCTTTAGGGCGGCGCTTCTCAACCTGTGGGTCGCGACCCCTTTGGCAGTCGAACGACCCTTTCACAGGGGTCGCCTAAGACCATCTGCATATCAGATATTTACATTAGATTCCTAACAGTAGCAACATTACAGTTAGGAAGTAGCAACAAAAATAATTTTATGGTTGGGTCACCACATGAGGAACTGTATTTAAAGGGCCAGAAGGTTGAGAACCACTGCTTTAGGGTGTTCCTCTAAAACTCATCTTCCTCTTACTTGCCTTTTGTTGCATTTGTGGATACCACAATAATTGTGTAATATATAGACTAAGGTGTCCTTATGTCTTAATGAGTATATTAAGATAAAGAATACCTTCCCCTCATTGGCTGTCAGAGTTGGCAGAAAAATATTTTAAAATTATATTGAAACTATTAAAATATTTTCTGTAAATATATGTTAAAATATTATAGAAGATAAAATAAATATTGCCAAATTTTCTCTTCAAAAAGTGATGTTACTCTTCAATTCAATAGCCTAAATTACTGGGTATGCCCATAAACTAATTCCAGGTAATGTATTAAAGCATTTAGCAAGCTTAAATATTTATAGTTCTTAAGGTTATATTTTCTTCCTAAATTAATTAATTAACCAAGAATAGAGACTTCATATTACTGTAAATGAAATTACATTAATACCTATGTGTTACTTATTATAATGCATAGTGAAGATAATGATAATAAACCACATCCAACCCCAGGTAACTTCTTAAAAAGTGTTATTTGTAAGTAGACCGTTTTATTGAAATATGCATATAGAAAAGTATACTAGTTATACGTGCACCGTTTGATGCAGTTTCACAAAGGATCCCTTACATACAACCAGTACCCAGATCAATAATAGAACATACAACAGCTATATTTTGCGACATGTTTTATTCTGTTATGAAGAAATGTTTGATATGAAATTTTTGGTGTTTATTATTCTACAAAACACACTAAAAAAATCAGCATAAACAATTATCCACACTATCAAAATCCAAACGAGGTTTCAGTGACAGAATATATTGCATGTAAATTTCATATGGATTTTACCATTCATTGGTGTAAAGTTTATTTCTCTGAAAATAAGCTGATTGTAACATTTCTGCTTGGCGTGACTGTGCTAACCGGAAGGACAAATGTCTTGACTGAACGTCTGTGCTTTTTGTTTGGTTGGTGTCATATTAAACTTCCCAAAGGAATGGGATGCCTTCCCTTCCCTCTTCCCCTTCCCAAGTCTCCCTTTTTCCAAAAAGACTCGGTGTTAAACGTTGCGTCCACTGTACTTTGCTGCAGTGCGATGTTTCCATGTCACGCAGTCAGAGGGAGGTAGATTAATAGGGACTTCTAGCTGGAAATTTCTTCCTGTTATTGTTCTCCCTCAGCAGTTGATAGCTAAGTTAATTCTCTTTAGTTTTGTCACGCTCCAAAGCACACATCGCCAAGCCATGGTAAGCTTTATGAGGAAGAAAAGGAGCAACGGTGTCCATCAAAGTCTCCAAGTTGCATTTTTAAACTTTGGCTTGACCTGATGTGCCATTCAAAACAGCTTTAGAAGATTTTTTTTTTTTAAAGAAAGGTTCAATATGTCCCGAGGCTATCGGTTTTGAGTTAAACTGGGTGAAGGAGAAATATTTTACTCATCAGCTCTGCAGTCACAGAGTTTGCCTCCGCTAGAACAAAACTGCTGAGGCATTTAGAGAAAATTAACCCCCCATCCTGGCGGCCAGATGTGACTGGTTTCTGATGAGTGCACATGAGTGGGCTGAAAAGCCAAGAGACTGTGAAATTCCTGTCGGCCCGCCCGGTGCAGAGTGGGCTATTGACTGCTTTCTATATTTCCCTCCATCATTCTTCTTGAACACTGCCATTAATTTCCTCTCCGGCTCTGACTGGTGTTCCTCCCCCGTCCCCTTCCCTTCAGCTCTGTCAGCTGCAGAGGCAGATACACAAGAGGTGGCAGAAGTACCTCCGGCTGGTGGTCCTGTCCAGCCGGCTGCGGCTGGCCCGGTTCCAGGTGGAATCTCAGGAGAACATTCAGAAAATCTTAGCCGTGCAGGTAGGTGACTGGAGGCCAGGAGGCAAGATCGCCTCGATCTAGATTGAAAAGCAAACGATGGGCAGTGTGATGAAGCACTGACGGCACATCCCACCAGAGTTTTACACATTTCTGACTTCTTTAATAAGCCGCGATGGCATGAAGGATGAATTCAGTAAGTCAGCGTACACACCACGCACACTTGGTGGGGAAAAGGAGAATGAACTGATTTGTCACAAACCTCGGGGTGGATTTTAATAAATACCTTTGGTGTAAATATACATGCTCAAATCCCCAGGCTTTGCACATGGGCCTCGGCTGTTTAAAAGATACCGTCCACAGTGGAATCTGCAGTGAAAATGACACTCGCATTTACTTAATGGTTTCTTTTTCCTTCCATTTTGCAAGAGGCTTGTTCCTCTAGGATCTGGAGATGACTGACTCTATGTAAGAAATAAGCGATTTGGCATTAGAATATAAATGTGGTTCCAGATGCTGTGAAATGTTACTATCCGTCCGTCCCAGTAAAAACTTTCAGTGGCTCAATTGTCTTAAAAGTAAGACAATGATCTATTTTAGAAACCCATATTGACTATGTGAAGACTATTTTATTAAAGTTACTTAAATATTTTCAAATTAATATTTCCTCTTGGAAATGTTACAGTATTATAAAACATGGCCTCCCAAAGCAAAACCCACATCACCTTGTTCTATTAAAAAGCAAAAACCTTTTTTTTTTTTTTTGAGGAAACGCCATACTGTTTTCCACAGTGGCTACACCAGTCTGCATTCCCACCAGCAGTGCAGAAGGGTTCCTTTTTCTCCGCATCCTCTCCAGCACTTGTTGTTTGTTGATTTGTTGATGATAGCCAGTCTGGCAGGTGTGAGATGGTACCTCATTGATATTTTGATTTGCATCTCTTAGATGATTAGTGACTTTGAGCATGTTTTCATATGTCTCCTGGCCTTCTGTATGTTCTCTTTCAAAAAGTGTCTATTTTGGTCCTTTGACCATTTTTTGATTGGATTGTTTATCTTCCTTTTGTTAAGTTGTATAAATTCCCTGTAAATGTTGGAGATTAAACCCTTATCAAAGAATATATTGGCAAATATGTTCTCCCATGCAGTGGGCTTTCTTGTTGTGTTGTTGATGGTTTCTTTTGCTGTACAGAAGCTTTTTGTTTTGATGTAGTCTCATTTGTTTATTTTCTCTTTAGTTTCCATTGTCCTAGGAGATGTATCAGTAAAGTTATTGCTCTGATATATGTCTGATTTTTTGCTTCCTATGTATTCTTCTAAGATTTTTATGGGTTCCCGTCTTACATTTAAGTTCTTTATCCATTTTGAGTTTATTTTTGTGTATGGTGTAAGTTGGTGGTCTAGTTTCATTTTTTTGCAAGTATCTGTCCAATTTTCCCAACACCATTTATTGACGCCATTGTATGCTCTTGCCTCCTTTGTCAAATATTAATTGAGCATAATAGCTTGGGTCAATTTCTGGGTTCTCTGTTCTGTTCCATTGGTCAACATGTCTGTTTTTGTGCCAGTACCAGGCAGTTTTGAGAACAGTGGCTTTGTAATACAGCTTGATATCTGGTGTTGTGATCAATGGGGGAGGGAGGGGGGAGAGGAGACTTATGTAATACTTTAAACAATAAAAATTTTAAATTTTAAAAAAAGCAAAAAAAAAAACCCAAAAAACCCTAGAAGTATCTGTTGTGTAAAAAAAAAAAAATTATACATTTATTCTCAAAGAACGCTAAGAGATGCCCTCATAGTGGTCCCATTTATGGAAGAGGAGACTGAAACACTTGGAAATGACATATTTTGGCGATAGGAGACCTGCTCTTAGCCAGGGTTCTTTGGCAGTTTTCTGTGTCTCCATTACTGAGATTAAATGTTCTCAAGGGAAGATAGTGAAAGATAAGTGATAAAGTAAGATCTTTCTTAAGGCTGCAGATAACAGGCTGACCAATTTAGGTTTGATATTCCAGGAATGCTTTGAACATTCGGTAAATAATTGGCCATTTTTCAAACCAAGTGCTAAAATTTTTCATGTATTTTTTAGGGATATCTTCTTATTGGGGAGGGGAAGAATTGTGTCTGGACTACTAATAAAATAATAAAATTGACACAAGACCAGATGAACTGGAAGAACATCAATTTAACATGTGTGTATTGGAGAATCACAGTATGGTTGGTGCTCAGATCATAAAATGAGGCTCAAAGAAATGATCAAACCAGGCACCTTTCTGTATTATTTCAACAAAGTAATAGTAAATTTGAGAAATTGACAGGACAAACAACGTTAGTGCTCATATAAAGGAATCTGAATGAGGGTTGGGTTTGTTTTTTGTTGTGGTTTTTTATTTAGTGAAGAATGTGAAAAAAAATAGTAAATTAGAAAAGAGGCAATAGGAGTTGATTATACAGACTTTGGGCTCTGAGTTGTTTAACTCTAGTGATAAAGGGCGTCTCCCAGTGCAGTGAGGACACCTTCCACTTACGAGGGCTATTCCTGAATTCAAGGAGACAAAGGTCAAGGTTCCCTTCCGGCCGCAGCTGCTTGTCAAGTAATCTTAAAGTCATCATCATGCCATTATGGGATACTTTGGGGCAGCCTGTCTTGGGCTCCCACACGCTCATGGTATTACTATAGCTTAACTTACTAGCTATCAGAGGGGAGTGCACTTAACACATGAAAAGTATAAAAATAATATGGTCATTTTGGTGTAAAACATAAATTACAGACCCAGTAAACTCAGAGAAGCCCCCAAAAGATATATACATAGAAGTCATACCTAGGTACATTGTAGTCAATTTCTGAAAACTAAAGACAAAACAAATTAAAAAAGATAAATGCTAAAAGCATTCAGGAAGAAAGAAATAAAGGTTTAACATTTCATCAGAAAGTATTAAAGCCAGAAAATATATACTGCTGAAAGAAAAAATGAACCCAGAATTCTCTATCTAGAAAAATAATCAATTCTGTAGACCTAATTCAACCATGTCAAAAGTTATATTAAGTATAAATGGACTAAAAACCCAATTTTTTAAAAAAATACAGTCACATTAGCTAAACATATAAGATTCAAGCTTAATTATCTAAAAATTATACACTTTAAATACAAGACACTGATAGGTTAAAAGTAAAAGGATGGAAAAATACTTGGCATGTAACACCAAGCATAATTTGGAAAGGATATATTAATATCAAACAAATTAACTTCACAACTAGGAAATTACCAGGGATAAAGAGGATAATTTTATTAAAAGAAGGACTCGATTCAGCAGGCACATATACAATCCTAAATGTATATGCATCTAATTAAAAAAGAAAATTTCAAAAATATATTAAGCAAATATTGAAAAAACTTAAAGTAGAAATAAAAATATGCATTACTATGGTTTGAGATTTTAATACTTCCCTCTAGGAATTGATAGAGCATGCAGAAAGAAAATCAGTCAGGAAATAGAAGAATTGAATAACACAATCCACCAACTTGACCTATTTGACATACAGAGTATTCCACTCAACAATAGCTGAATATACGTTATTTTAAGTGCATATTGGACATTTCCAAATATGGTCCATGCACTGGGTTATAAAACAAGTTCCAATAAATTTAAAAGGATTGAAATACTATAGTGGATATGTTTGTTTGTTTTTTACTACAATGGACTTAATAAAAATCAGTAATTAACAGAAATTTGAACCTGGCTGGTATGACTCAGGGGTTGAGCATGAACCCATGAAACCCATGAACCAGGAGTCATGGTTCGATTCCCAGTCAGGGCATATGTCTGGGTTTCAGGCTCGATCCCCAGTAGGGTGGGTACAGGAGGCAGCTGATTGATGATTCTTTCTTATCATTGATGTTTTTCTCTCTCTCTCTCTCTCCCTCTCCCTTCCTCTCTCAGAAATCAATTGAAAACAAAACTCACTAAAATAAAACACATAAAAGATATTTGGAAATAAACAAAGGAGAACCTCTATTTAAATATTGATATCTACATTTTACACATATATCAAAATAATGTAGATTCAAGTGATTAACAAAGCATTTTTCAATGTTAAATTTCCCAAATTAAATTACCTGCCTCCTTTATTATGTTAAATAGCATGTTAAAACCAAAATGTATTGCTTTTTAAAATTTTTTTTAATAAAATAAACATCTATAATTGTTTTTATTAGAAAGAGATAAAATTTTATGTGTTCTGATTTTTTCTTGGTCTTAAACAAAATAATACTCAGCATCTGCATTATGTTTAAATTCACTTTTTACAGGCAGTACATTTTTCAAGTGGAGGAGCCATGTCAGTGTTGTGGGGGAGAGGAGTTTTTCAAAGACAGGACTTTAAGTTTGAAAATTAGTGACTAATGGAGCATACCCAGTAGGTATTTTTCATACAACTTAGCATCATCATTATATAACGATGCTGCTTTGATGTGAGTTTAACTCAGACACATGATTTTTCATCCCAGAGTATCAAGATTATAGAACAATGAACAGTACAGTTATAATGAGGAAGATATTAAGATAAAAATATTTAATAAAATACTAAAGAGATAAAGTTTGAAGTAGCCTTGTCATTCACATATGGTGTCAACTCTACCATAGATAAAGAGAAAATGATGAAGACGAAGAAAATGAGCCCATAAACCTTAATGTGGAAATGGGATGTTACAGAGTTTAGATTAAACAAGTCCCATGTTTTTTTAAAATTTCATGTACTGTATACCAAGTGAGAACCACAGCACGGCATCTCCTTTAGCATTCCAACGCAATGAAAGACATCTCCCCTTTGGGTTTTTATACTTGTACAGACCATCTATTACTGTAAGAGGGAAACAGTCTGGCATGTTGAGTGAACCTTGGCATGAAAACTCTCGCCATTCCTTTCCCTGCAGCATATCCCTCAGTTGGTAAAGGGAATATTTTTCACACTAATTTTGACCTCCCTAAAATGAACTAGAGTCTAGGCCAGTGATGGCGAACCTATGACACGCGTATCAGAG